GTATGTGTTATGAAAAATGGCCTGCCCGTGCGAGGGTTAAGCTCCCACAGCAAATGAAAATTCAAGGGTGTCTGTTTTTCCCAGATATGGCAACAGAGCAAAGTTTTTAGGTCCAAAAGCCCTATGATTAAACAAATAATTTTTTGAGGTCAAAGATCACAAGATGCAACAAGAATACCTAAAAGTTTTGAGGTCTAAGATCCCTAAGATCCTATGACAAATCAACATTTTGAGATCCTGGATCCTCAAGATCCCACATCCAATACAATTTTGATATTCAAGATTTCTAAGATCCCACGACAAAAATAGCAACTTAAGATCCAAGATCCCCAACCAGATCTTGGACTCTGCAGATCCAGGATCGCAGATCTTTTGGGATCATGGCACATGTCTGCTCCACTGAAAAAAAAACTTACTATGGTACACTTATTGAGTTATACAAGTACAGCGCATCCTAGACAACCGTGGTTTTGTGTGTTTCTTAGATAAAAAATCATAATTTTATTGGTATGTCAAATCCTGGTATCACATTTCCATGAAATAAAATATGTAGAATTAATATACAATCATCAGTTTAAAAAAGTAATAATGTGCACTTACATAATTTGACCCAAAATCAAAGAAAAAAATGTAATGTAAATCATTGGTTTGACCTTATCCTCGTAGAGAAGTAATTGAAATTAAACTTTATTAATGTTTCGGCCATGGACCATAATCATAATATAAACAATGCAAGTGTTGACAGTGAATAACTTAAAAATAGTAATAGTAAAAATATATAAAGATAACCTTACTCTCATTCCAAATTTTGGACCATGAATAGCCAGTGAAGATTGCACATGCTCTCACTCGGCTCAGATCTTTGCTATCAAAATTAAAAACAGAACATTCATGATTTCATTATCCTAGCCAGGGTGCGGAGTGGAAAATAAGCACGGTAAGGAGTGGAGAAATCGGAGAAATAGCCGCAAAACAGATGAAAAACAAGTGGATAAACCTGTTCTTGGAGCAAATGAACAATGTGAACAAATGGAGCAATATTATAATACATTTTCGACATTCAGAACACAAAATACCCAACACAGATGTTTAGCCCATTGTTTGGCTTATTCGAGAAAAAAAATATTTTGAATAACAAGGAAAGAGTGAAAAATTGCCTGAAAGTTGTGCAGAAAAGTGGAAAATTTGTTTACTTTGGGCGTTGTTTTGCAACCAAATTCTCAAATTCCAGGACGCTGCATGATTGAAATCGCCAGGGTATAGATAAATATTTTGTTACATTTCATGTACGGTATCAAACTACACTAACTTTATATAAATTAAATATTGTTTAACAAGACATTTCAAAAATATGATATCGCAGACACACATTTTTTTTAAATGACCCAAATTCACATAAAAAAATAAAGCGAAGTAAAAATAAAATGAAATATCACTTAACTATTGGGGGGATATTCCTGCACCTTCCGCCAGGATTGGAAGGGAGACGTCCTGTCCCTCGCGGCGGAGCCCCTGGGCCCTGGCTACAACCCCAACATTTTGGAAATTTAACATTATGCCTATGGCGCAATGTGGTAAGAATAAAGCTATTAACAACTAACTACAACCCCAATGATTTCCAAAAAGTTCCAATGGCGCCATAGACCAAGATAGAGCGTCCGGATCATGTAAGCCAGCTCATGAAGTCATGGAACGTGAAGTCATGTAAAAAGGTGAGTCTACCTTGTAATATGCTAATAGCCCCCCTCCCCCAGAAGCAAGTCGTTTAACATCACGCACATTTCTTACTTGACATACAGAAAGAGCAGAAGCCATTTTTAACATTCATCAAGTGCGTTCAAACAAAGCCGTATTAGAAACCTCGTCCCGTCTATGCGCTCATTAATCACCCAGCTTATTGGAGACGAACGCAGAAACAAAAAATAAACATCACTCACCTCACAAACACTCAGCGCAGGTTTGACTCCAAAGGTGGCCCAGCTTCCCACTGCGCAAGCAGCAAGTCCACGCCGAAACAACGGCCGGAACGGAAACGCGGCGCGGGAAGTGCGGAAGTTGCGCAGAAGCTTGCGCATAAGGAAGAAAAGTAGTCGAACTATCATGTTATTCAAACTATTATTTTACAAACTGTCATGTTTTACTCGAACTATCATGGTAATTAAATATCACTTATGTGACCTATTTTCATTCTTTCTTTCTAGTTCAATCGAAAACAATAATCATTCGTTCGATCCGTTGGTCAGCGCTATAGTGCCATCTGTTCACATCATCGGCGACGCTGGCGACATCTTTCAAACATACAGGCTGTTTGCGTTTACGCTGGGGTGTCATGGAAGTGCAACACGGGGTGTCACTCCAGGGCCCAATCTTACCAATGCCGTGAATAGGATTTGGCAGCACTGGCCGGAGTTAATGGCACTGATATCAGTGATATCCTTTTTGTTTACATCCCGCTAATCTTGTCCAATGATTTTGATAGCGTGAATGATTATGAATGTTGCCTGAACGAATGAAAAAGTGAATGTGGAATAGTTCTGAATGCTACCAAATGCCGTGAATGTGCATTCACGGCATTTGGTAAGATTGGGCCCAGGATAATGACACCCCAGAGGGGTTTCAACGGGGGTGTCTCAGCGACACTCCAATTTTTTGGCCTGCAATTTTTGGGGAGTTCGCTAGCCGAACCTCTCCCAAGGGGGTCATGTACATTTTTGGGGCGTCAAAAGGTAATGGGGCTCCCGTGTCGGGTGTCACAACACCCATGACATCCTAAAATCATGAAAACGGAGCCTAATTTAGGAGTATTTAGGAGTATGGGGTGTCAGATTGTAAGAAATGGGGTTCCCCGATTTTTTTTTTCAGTGTGAGGCTTTGTCAAGAAAGAAATATATCCAGGGGACAAGACTGTAGATTTGGACCGACATCTGAAGACGGCAAGGCGGAAATTATCGGTCTCGTTTGACGTGGAGGTGCCGCGACGTTTGATCAAGGGGGTCGGGTGGCGCATGCGGCGTGACGTGTAACATGGTGTGCTCAGTGCGCTGCGCTGATGGTATTTGATAACAAATAGAAGGATGCATAAGCATGCGAGTTTTCGATTATCGAAGTTACAAAATACCCGAGATATAAGCCTGTAAACTTTTTCTCATTAATTAGTAGACACCCGTTATCACAACCTTCTTAAACGACTTATCGGGTTATCTAAATTTGAGAGTACGAGTATGACATGTGCATATTTTAGAGTGCTGAATTGTGAAGGCGTGTTCAGGAAACTTATCTATAAGTTTCTGAGAAGACTTGAACAGAGCCCCAATAGCATCATTGAAGCAATCAATTCAGGGGATCTCCGTTTCAGATCAAAACTGAGACGCTTTTGGCTCAGTAAGCTCTATTGTCATGCTGTGCTACATTGAATGTGCATCGACTGGGAGTGTGCCTTAATCGATGTTTGTTGTTGTTCATCCATCATCCATCTGGTACATCCATCATCAACTCATAGCAATGGACTGTTAGTCTGAAATACAAATCTATCTATCTAGGGTCTTTCATAATGAATGTTACTTTTGAAAGAGTTATTTCTCAGGACATATATGTTCCTCATGTAATATGTACCATCACATGAAACAGAAACACATTAGCGTTTTTGCACACACAACTTTGATTTTAATGCTCCTCAGGAATCTTCCACTGTATCGCCCTTTAAGGCACAGGTTTCGGCCCTCTGACGAAGGTGTCGCACCGCGCGCCTCACAACGTCTGGGTCCAGGCTTCCAGTAAACCTCTCCACTGTGGTTCGCAGTGGATGGCTGCGAGGGTTTTGTGTCAGATCTGCCAATGCGACTCCCCAAAACCAGTAGTACAGCGGGGAGAGTTCAGGGCTCCGTGGTGGCCATGGTCGCTCGGTGAGGCGGCTGATAACGCGCTCTTCGAAATTCTCGATCAGCCACTGGCGCAACAGCTGCCGTGGTGTGCACTGTGGCGCCATCCTGCTGGAACCACAGGCCGTCTCTTTGAAACTTGTCCCTGACCTGATGCAGAAGCATTCCTTCAGCAGCCTTAGGTAAGCCACCCCGTTCAGTGTTGACCCAGGGGAGAGCCAATGGATGAAGACTTGTCCGTCGACCGTAAAGGCCGCCCCACACTGGAACTCGCATGCGGGTTGCGAGTTTTTGAGTTTTCGGGTTTCTTCAAAATCAAATAATACAATATAAGCTGAATGACCCACACTACCATCTAACAGACGAGTCTGCATGTTTTTAGCTTGCGAGCGACCTTGCATCGCATTCCAAAAGTTGATTGTGAGTCAACTTTCGATTTTCCTCGCTGCGAGGTCTGCGAGTTCTGCGAGGCTTGCGGGTTTTTCGTTGGAGTCGAATTTTGGTTCGTTGCGCTGGTATTGTGACTATATGTAAGTTTCTGAAGGTGCACCGGCTTCACTGCATTCATAAAGTTACCATAAGGGAGCGGTCTAATCACTCTATAAATTAGTATTATGCCTGCAAACTCAAAACCCGCAAACCCGCAACCCGCATGCGAGTTCCAGTGTGGGGCGGCCTTAATCCGTAATGCGTTTTAGTGGTGTCTACATACCACATACTCTGCTTTTCCGTGAAGGAAAATTGGCGTTGTGAATTTTTTAATTTTTTGGGACAAACCCTAATCAATTTGCAACAATACGCATATAAAATTCACGTGGAAGTGATAAATTAAGAGCTCCTAACTAAATGTTTAAAAGTAACATTCATTATGAAAGACCCTGTATCTATCTATCTATCAGTACCTACAGCAAAAGGTGCTTTTAGAGCAGACATAATTTGTAAGATGTAGCAAATTTCCATCAATAGACGGGCTTTGACTAAATTTTGTTTCTATGGGTATTTGTAAGGTTATTATTCTAAAAATGGCGGCTTAAAGTTCCAATGTCCACTCACATTGTTTTTACGCCTTTTAAATTAATTTGGAATATTGCTAGGTGCTATTGGCAAATGGAAAACACTCACCAAGAAAAGTGAGATGCGAAAAAGATCTTCCGATGGTCGAGTAACTAGCAAAAGGCCCTGCACTGTAGACAGAGTACTTTCCTATTCCACCAGGGAATGTGACATCCACTCCTGAAAAATAAAAATCAGTCGTAGACATTTGAAAACACAGACGATACTGCAAAAAATAATGATCTTTTGATGAAATTATAGCGCAATCCCTGTCTATGAAATCGTTGTGATAGCTGCTGAAATTTATATGTTTACGAGTATAGTACAGCAGCAAGCAGTAGAACCAATATAGCTCTCACCATCGTCTGCTTTGACGCCATCGCAGAATTGCTTTATGATCCGATCACTATATTGTTTGATGTATGCCTCTGAAACTGTTCCATTTGGACACTTGGCAGGCTTCGGGATGGTGGCGACGACGTTTTGCAGCTTCGGAATCCCAAAGGAGCAGAAACACCTCTCTCTGTCAAATAGGGATCTTGTCAGACGAATTAAAAGTCACAGGGAAAACAAAGAGGTAAAGAAAAAATAGTGTTGTTACTTGTTATCCATCGCGACCCATAGGTATGACTGACGCACACCATCTATACGGTTCAAAATCGATAGCAAGTCATAATCAGTGTGCTGAACAGTCACCGACTCATGTGAAACTGCATGTGTGCTGTGCATGACCAATCACATGTGCTGTAGCACTGACCTCTGCAAGATGGCTGCTGCCACATGAAGAGCTGCTTTCTGTTTGCCTCGCTTTGCAGTGTGAGTGTCGCAGGCGCACAGGCATTTCTCTAGCGTATCGGGTTTCTTTCCGAGGTCCAGCCAGCCTGACTCGTTAGCAGCACGACTGAGGCAGCTACTGAACAGTGTTGGCTTTACTAAAAAGGACAGAGTTCTTTGCTAGCTGAGTCTTCATTTACCTGGCTCACTGTGCTCACTAATTAGCCACTATTCCAAAAATGTTCAAATGGACACACTGTAAAATATTAACTATTCGTGTTCATACTCATAATTGAAGCATAAATGCAAACTTCCAGTTAGTCGCTCGTGGAACATCAGTTATAGAAATGCAATAGTTCTTATAATCATTAGACGCGCAAGAAATTGTCTTGGAAATTGACAAATTTTGAACACTTTTACGCTTCAAAACCTGCCGATACTCACCGACGAAAAGCTGACCTGACGACTTTTTTGCACTGCGGTAAAATCCAACCTCCTCTCCGGTAGACACCGACCGGTATTTCGTCAGACCCAGTCTGGATTTCTTCAGAGAAACTGTAAAAATGGTTGCGTTTTACAATGTCATCACTTCCATGCTTCTCCAATTTTAATTCACAAAATTTCTAGCACCCTTCAGTCTCTAAGAGTTGAACTTACATCGCGTTTTTCTGAACTTAGCATCCTCTTCGACTGAGTGCCTCCAGTAGAATGGATTTCTTTCGTATCCGAATTTTCCTTCTGCTTTTGCTGTTTTCTTCAAGTAATCTCCTGCAATGAACGAGTGACAGTTCACAGGAAAACAAGTATTTTCAAGTGTGTTTTTATTTTTAAAAAGATTGCATAATTCTTTTCACAAACAGTTGAATCCTCACTGACTAAATCTTATTTCTTGTTAGTTTTACTCACTAAACCCTAAACCGGCAAAAATGAAATTATGCAGCTAGAACTGGGAGTCTCAGCTGCATTTATTTGCATTTATTTGCTCTTAACTATTATTTCTTTCACATTTAATCGAAATTTAGGACTTGGAGACCAGACATACCCAGAAATCGCTGCGGTTGTTGCATTGTACTATTTTGCTTTCCGGGTCTTATCATTTTCAATGTTAAAAACATTAGTTGTCAAAATGTTAGGGAAAATTGAATGTATTTTGGAATACTGCTGAACTCAGTAGTACGACTGATCATTCGCACGATCGAAAGCGACTCACCAATATAAGATTTGATATCCTCGAGTATGCGAGCAGGCTGCCCGGTTTTGTTCGAAAAGGTTTCTTTAACTTTATTTGAGGAACTCTCCGAGCTCTGAATATCCTGGTTGAGATTTGTTGAGGCTGAAAATTATAAACACCGTTAATTTACATAGTTTTTATTGCATTTAAGTATTAGATGCATGCTTCTACAATTAGAACTTAGGGACCCGTATCATATGTCGTAAGTGCCCTGACCCTCAGATGATATTGCTTATGAGGATCAAATATTACAGGCTAACTGCACCAACCATTTTTTTTCGCAACGAAAACACGCAGTCATGATGTGCTATTGCATTATACATTGTAGTGCAGGTACGCGTATGAACTTAATTGCTTGCCTATTTTGCTTACCGGTTGAAGGCACAAAACTACTGCGTATTCGGTTATAGCCGAATCTCTTCATGTTTTGTAAAGTTGTCCTTCTCATCTTCAATTCTGAAATGAAGGCATGTCCTTCAGCACAACCATAGGATCTTGTTCAATCCTAATTTTGTATGGTTAAAACGGAGAAGGTTGTTTGTTTCACAGCTTGGAGTTCAATAGATCATTTGATCAAATCCAAATAAATATAGCTGAATTACTTAGTGGGTATCAATAAAGAGGGAGGGTAAAAACTATTTCTCATTGATCGACTCACCAACAGATGCTTCTGTTGAATGCAGTGCGGCAGTGCCGTTTACTGCAACGGACCCAGACTGAGGTGGACTGATGTTTTGGGTGTTGCCGAACGTCCTGGGCCGGAATACTGAAATATGATACATTTTGTGATTCCTTATAATGTAAAAGGTGATCATCAATTTTGGCTATCCTTATACTGAGTTGAAATAAATAAAAGCCACGTAAGTAAATATTTATTTTGTTGCAGGTAATCAAACGCGCATACCTACAACGTAGCTGTGTCTTATCTATTAAAAGTCTTCCTTATGCCTTTCATTAGAAGATTCAAATCAGGTAACTATATTAAAGATTAAGTGAATCAATTTCTTAGTTATTAGCAATTCTGACTCAAATTCTAGCACACCAGTGATTTAACCGAACACCCTCTGGTACACTTCACAAGGAGGATACTCATTCGACGAAAGATTCTCACCTCTCCGACCTGCGTTATATTTGATCAGAAGAAACCATCGTGATGGGATGTGGCCTCTGTTGTGACTCGAGTCGTGCACCACAATCGGTTTAAGTGCCGCCTTCTTTTTCAGGAAGGGACTAGGTACACCACACTGGCATCCTGTCCTGTGGAAACAGTGTTAAATCGTTAGCTTGGTCAAACCATGGATGAGATAACACTTATCTCATCCATGGTTAAACTAAGCTTAACCCTCGCCCGTATAGGGGGGGGGGGGTCGAACGGAACCCCCCCATGGTTTTTCGCCAATAACTCGCGTAAAAAGCGGTTGATCGCGACGAAACTTTCAGTACCCTCGCGTTAATCAATTTTACACCTACCCTAAAAATTTCATGACCTTGACCCCAATGACCTTTGACCTGTGACCTACTTTTCGAGACCATGTTTGGCCGGAATCGCGATTCGGCGTATGTCGGCTAGGGTGTTTCACTTTTCACTTTTTTCTCAGATTGTCTCTCCTCGATCGGATTCCCATTATTTCATCTTTTTAATAAAATTTGGTGGCAATTATTCGATTTTAAACTCGATTCTAAACGTCGCGATAATTCGCCAAAGTTTTCAATTTTTGTGCCGTTCGGCGTTGAAGTCACCCATGTTAGAGCAATTGCAAGTAGGGCACTAACACCAAGAAAATACGGCCGTGCAAGAGGTGGTATTAACCGGTATTTTATGACACTGTGAAGGTTGAATATGGTACCTGCGCTTCCATAAAAGTGTCGTCGCATATTCTGGTGCTCAGATTAACATACACAGACATAACTCATTATTCAGGACACGACAACTTAACAGTAAGCAAAACACTGGTACGTCAGTGACGGCAAAACATGTATTTCGGTACCGGGCCTCAACACCGTTTCTCATCGAACCCAGTCACAGGGTAGCCAGGGCTGCCTTTGTCATGTGTGGCACTGCACGCCTGTGCCTCTCCACAGCCTGCAGAAGCCACTGGAATTGGTCCTGCCCCTTCACATGCTGAGCGAATGTTTTCAGAAGAGCGATGCCCCTCTCCGCGGTGTCGTTCACGACTTTCACTGTTTTCACGAATTCCTTGCATAGGATGTACGCCTCGTGACCTTCCCACTCCCCAGGAGGCTTCGTCATCCACTCGTGGTCGACTCCCATCAGGTCAAACATCAGCCACGACGACGTGGTCACCAATACTGACAGGCTGGTGGACTCATCCAGTGCGACCGATGGTGTCTGATCAGGCGCCGCGGAGCACGAGTTTGCGAGCAGGTTGACACATATGGCCTCCTTCTCCTCTTCTGTGACACGGCTGCTAAAGAGGCTGAATACTACAACTGATGGCTGCAGATACCACAAATGGCGCCGCATCACAGCGACAGCAGCGTTCGCCACTGGTTGGTCCAACTGCCTATACCGCACCAGGCTACGGTACAGGTTGAGGTCGTTAGCGGGGGCGTCCTCTGCAACAGGGGCCGGCAGCCACGCGACGACATAGAAGAGGAGCAGAACATCTTGATGCTGTACAGTGTACAGCATCAAGTGTACAGCATCAAGATGTTCTTGTTCGCGGACCAGCTGGAGTACGATGAGCCAATGCAGGAGAAGGTGCAGCGGATGGCTCAGTTCCTGCTCCTCTTCTATGTCGTCGCGTGGCTGCCGGCCCCTGTTGCAGAGGACGCCCCCGCTAACGACCTCAACCTGTACCGTAGCCTGGTGCGGTATAGGCAGTTGGACCAACCAGTGGCGAACGCTGCTCTCGCTGTGATGCGGCGCCATTTGTGGTATCTGCAGCCATCAGTTGTAGTATTCAGCCTCTTTAGCAGCCGTGTCACAGAAGAAGAGAAGGAGGCCATAGCCCATATGTGTCAACCTGCTCGCAAACTCGTGCTCCGCGGCGCCTGATCAGACACCATCGGTCGCACTGGATGAGTCCACCAGCCTGTCAGAATTGGTGACCACGTCGTCGTGGCTGATGTTTGACCTGATGGGAGTCGACCACGAGTGGATGACGAAGCCTCCTGGGGAGTGGGAAGGTCACGAGGCGTACATCCTATGCAAGGAATTCGTGAAAACAAAGAAAGTCGTGAACGACACCGCGGAGAGGGGCATCGCTCTTCTGAAAACATTCGCTCAGCATGTGAAGGGGCAGGACCAATTCCAGTGGCTTCTGCAGGCTGTGGAGAGGCACAGGCGTGCAGTGCCACACATGACAAAGGCAGCCCTGGCTACCCTGTGACTGGGTTCGATGAGAAACGGTGTTGAGGCCCGGTACCGAAATACATGTTTTGCCGTCACTGACGTACCAGTGTTTTGCTTACTGTTAAGTTGTCGTGTCCTGAATAATGAGTTATGTCTGTGTATGTTAATCTGAGCACCAGAATATGCGACGACACTTTTATGGAAGCGCAGGTACCATATTCAACCTTCACAGTGTCATAAAATACCGGTTAATACCACCTCTTGCACGGCCGTATTTTCTTGGTGTTAGTGCCCTACTTGCAATTGCTCTAACATCGGTGACTTCAACGCCGAACGGCACAAAAATTGAAAACTTTGGCGAATTATCGCGACGTTTAGAATCGAGTTTAAAATCGAATAATTGCCACCAAATTTTATTAAGAAGATGAAATAATGGGAATCCGATCGAGGAGAGACAATCTGAGAAAAAAGTGATAAGTGAAACACCCTAAATTGTCGGCTCACATTAGCCGCGCGTTTGCAGTCTTTTCGTGGTTTCAAGCGTTCAAACATGTGATATGATGTTGCCACCATGCATTAGGGTGGGTGTCAAGGTCACCTGAAGGTCAGGTCAGGTCATTGACTTTGGTGACCTGACATCGGTTCACTTTTTCGAGTTTTACATGTTTCTAGGCCAGTTTTTGGAGCTGAATTCGAATTTAGCAACCATATGAACATTTACGGAGTAGTTTTGGTGCCTTCGTAACATGTTACGAAGCTGTCAGAGGCGGTTGACACCTACTAGGAATACCCGGCAGGACCCCTACTGGTTGACCTGACCTGACCTGACCCGACCTGGACTAAATGCATAAAGACATCATCTGTGATCAAAACTAACATGATATTCATTATCAGCGCCCCGAAAAACCCCACAGCAGCCACACTTGACGACTTTCTAACAGGTCCCGATTTTCCCGACTTTTGGGTCATTGACCTGACCTGTAAGGTCAACCAATGACCTAGGACCTTAAAATTAGGTATCATCGGCTTCCTTTCGTCACGGGCAACACGCTCGTTTTTTTCCGCGAAGCTCTAGCTCGATCAGGGGCGAAACGGCAAGGGACCTCCCCCCCTTAGGGGAAGCCGGGGGAAGCCCGGGCGCGGGGGAAGCCCGGCCACCCCGTTTCCGGCTAAATTATTCACAATAAAATGCTCAGCTGTTTGTCCTTTCAGCGTGGCAGCTAAGGTAACGCCAGTAAAAAAGTTAAGGCTAACAAAAATTGTATATTGTTAACCCTCGCACGACCAGGCCATTTCTCATAACACGAACGACCAGGGGGGGGGGTTGTTACGACCCCCCCCCCCTGGCGTTTCGAAACGGAAGGTCGTAGAGCTTAGCGGAAAAAACCAACGGATTGCTCTCAACGAGATCTCGCGATTGGTGGTATATTTTTTGGTCCTAGGTCAACATTTGACCTACTTATGACCGGTCAAAGGTCAAATTTTCCGAAAAAATCAAACTTTTTCAACTTTCCGCGGCGATTGCGGCAAAACGGTGGAAGATATCGACTTGAACCCTTCACTATCGTGTTCCTTGATCAATTCTCTATCGTTTGGTATGTATTTGGTTTCCCTAGCTCTAAAAATGGCGCGTTGGGAGCGCCGGAAGTCGGCAAGGTCACAGTCGGCGGCGGAAATTCGAAAAATCAAAATTTAAATTTTTGAAATCTGATTGTATTTTTGGATTTGGGAGGTCCATTTGCTCCCTATAGAAGCTAATATTGCTGCATATTCCCATTGAGGTGACAAGAATTAGCAAAATAGTGGTTCGGGCGCTTTTCAAAAATAGTACCGGACGCTGTTCCTCTTGTGACGTCATAGCTCCGTGACCTGACCTGACCCGGTCAATTTTCTTGCACCACACGATAGCCAATGCTTGCCCCAATATGCATGGGAAGTTTCATCATGATCCATCAAACAATGTGGGTATCACCGGCAGAAAACCTAGGGATTCGGCGCACACGTTTGGTAACTGTCGGCCGGAAGCTGTACCTCTTATGACGTCATAACTCCGTGACCTGACATGACCCGATCAATTTTTTTTCGGCAAAAGATGCGCAAAGGTTGCCCCAGAGGGTATTGAAAATTTCAGCCCGCTACGACAAGCCGTTTAGCGTGCACTTCGAAAAAACCTCAGGGGGGGGGGGTTGATACACCCCCCCCCCCCTAGGCGTTCTAGGGTTAAAGTTATAGAGCAAAATGCCGGTCTGAGCCGGTCCCGTAGCTCAGTTGGTAGAGCGTTGGACTCCGCGTGGTGAGAGCACGCGTTCCCGGTTACAACAGTCCGGGTTCGAAGCGCGACGGGCGCTTGACATTTATGGGCTTCCTGACAGGTATGGTTGCGGTTGGTGGCAGGCCGTAGCCAGGCGAAGTCAGTGTAGGGGACTGGCCGTGCGGGGCATTCCACGTCAAATCAAACACCGAAATCCGTCATCCCCTTCGATTTTTCTGAAAATTTGTAGGCAGACTGGGCATGGTTCAAAACTGAGTTACGTATAATATTTTCGAAATTTGATAAAGTATCGCTGAGATATAGGTCATCGAATATAGCCAAAAATGCCACACATCAATTTTTTAAATGTCTATAACTCTGGTTTCTTTTCTGGTATCAAAATGATATTAACAGGGTCTTGTAGGCAATTGATAAGGCTTTGATTCTTAATTATAAAATTAAATTGAAGTGACCTTGAAATGCATTTGACCTTGAATTAAAACAGAAAAATTTAAATAGCAAAAAACACGTCACCTTCGATTCGGGTAATTTTTACATATTATGTCCGTCACAATGTTCCTAACCATCTGTGAAAAAAATTGGAGTGGGCCATTCATAACTCTCGCGGCAAACGCCGTTTTCATGCATCAACATCACGCAACCGCGCGTGACCTTGAAAGACAGAGTCAA